CTTGCCAGGCAGGCGCTTTTGCCGCTGAGCTAAATCCCCAGCCCCTCCAGGCTGGTCTTGAACTCACAACGATCCTCCTACCTCAGCCTCCCGAGTGCTGGGATTACAGGCGTGTGCCACCATGCCTGGCTCTAATGGTCTTTTTTAGCTCTTGTTCTGGCTCAGACAGTTGTATAAGGACATGTTTTGTAGGCCTGCAAAGCTGTCTGTTGTGCTATCAACAATGAAAAGAATATACTCCTAAATTTCTCGCTTCTGTCAAAACCCTTCAGGAATCTTTAGAAATTGTTAATGGATTTATCTAATCACATAGCAAGATAGAATGAACTGTACATAGCACCCAACAGAACTTGTATTTAGTGAATGTTGGAAGACCTAGATTTTGCTAACTGTGTCACTTTGGCCGAGACACATTCTCAAACTACTTTCCCTATTTGTGAAATGAGGATTTGGGCAAATGGTCTCTTAGATATATCTTCTTGCTCTCACTGGCAGTCATTCTCTGATCTGTGGTCCTCACCATATGTCATGGCTTGAAAATGCCCCCCAAAGTTCATATGTTAGAGTCCTGACCCCCTGCATGGAGTACTGAGAGGTGGGGCCTAACAGGAAGTTCTTGAGTTAAGAGGGACTGCCCTCATGAGTGGACTCATGCTTTTATTGGGAGTGGACTCACCCCCTCTTGCTCTCTCATGCTGTCTTTGCCCTGCTGCTATGTAATGATGCAGAAACTCCTTACCAGATGCCAACACTTTCATCTTGAACTTTCCATCTTCCAGACAGGTGAAAGAGATTTCTCCTTGTCATAAATTACACCGTCTGTGTCTTCTGTTATAGTAAGCATGAAATGGACTAACACATCACACCTGAATGATAATACAACCTATATTTTAAAACAGCCTGTTAGAACAATTCCAGGTGCCAAATGTTTATAACTTTGCAAGGCAGAAATTTCAGCAGTGGACTAGGAGGAAACTTTTTTCCCATCTTAAGCTGAAACCTGTTACTGCACACCCTTCAACAACTGGTGCTATTTCTGTATCCAGCACAACAAAGAATAAATCTACTTTTCTCCCCGAAAGCAATGAACCATTAGATACCTGGACATAGCTACTGTTGTCTTTGCTGAAATACTTTATGGGAATCTGTGGACCTTTGGGGGCTTTATTTCTATTACCCTTCCTCTGATTAGCATTTCACAAATTATTCTAGCTTCAACGGCCAGTGGATCAAGTATTTAACATTACTAATTTTCTTAAGGATCGGTTTCTCATTCATAGATTGAGCATGCAAAATCTCAGCAGCTTTGTAGCCTTCACCGGTTCATCAGTGTCCTTTAGAGAGTGCAGCATCTATGAGAAGTGGTCTGCTCCACACAGGCTTCACTGGCACTGACTTCCCTAGATTTGGAGAAAGGCAACATAGCTACTGGGAGTGCCATTAGAGGTCTGAAGCCTTTTCAGTAAATTACTGTGAAATACATTGTGCCCTGTAGCTACCTGAGTTGGTTTTCCGCAGCGTTTTAGGTTTGTAGGTATGGATGTAAAATTCATCACTGTTCAGCATGTAACCCTTTTTCCAGAGTTTGTCTTTCTTTTTATTTGTTAAAATTATTTTTAAAGCGGACATGGTTGGGCATGCCTATAATTCCATCATTCTGGGAGGCAAAGGTGCAAGGTCACTAATTCAAGCCCAGTCTGGGCAACTTAGTGACTTAGGAAGAAACTGTCTGAAAATGAAAAATAAACCAAAGGTTGAGATGTAGCTCAGTGCAGGCCCTGAGCTCAATCCCCAATCATGAAAAAAACCAAAAATAAAAACCAACTAGTTTCCTGTAATCTTATTCCCAAAACACATTTTGGTATACATTACTTTAGACTTTTTCCTATGCATGAAGCTTCAGGTTTTTAAAAATGGATCAGACGATACACAGAGATGTTTAACACCCTGTATCTTCACTTATCAACATGTCTAGATATTTTAGAGTCATACTTATTCTAATTAGCAAAGTTCTTTGAGGGTAGGCAATCTTTAAGTTTTTATGATATACAACCATAACTGATTCAGTTTTTGAATGATTACATTGTAATCACTCCTACGTAATTACAGATTACACATTTCAGCCAAAAATGCTGAAAATTTGCCCTAAAATTTCTATATTAATCTTGGATGGTGTGACTCATTTACATTTCTAATTATATCTAACATTGCTCTGACATTTACTTTAATAATTTTGTTCCCAGTTGTTTTAAAAGAGCAAGTTGAAAGAGACTCTCAGATGAACGGAAGAAAAATAGTTAATTCATTTTATGATGCCCTCACTCATTCACGTGAAAGCCCAGTCAGCTCCCAACAGTGCTCCCGGCCAGGCTGCATAAATGATGCAAATAATGTAGGCAGCAGTTGGTTATAATCCATTCATGAGTACTATGCTTGGGTGTATCTGTGTACAAGAGAATTCCAGTCAGATCACAGATTCTCCATCTCATTACCTTATTTAGTGGTTTTGCACTATGTAAAAGAAATTATTGATTTATTTTGCCACTTCCAAGAGTTCACATTTCTAGCTATGCTTCTCATCTCTGTCTAGACTTACATAAGAAGTAAACAAAATAGATGTGAGAAAAAAGTCATGCATTTGTTAAGTGTTTTTGTTGTAGTAAAATTCAAATTATCATTTTATACTATTCTCAAATTCATGGTTTGTAATCCAAGTGGAAAAATTCCAATGTTATCTGATGAGCCAAAGGCAAATTAAAAGCCAAATTTTTTGTTTTAAATAAAATCAGTATAAACTGGTGATTCATATTGTTTCACATATTTAACATTCCATATCAATTGCAATGTTTAAATCACTTAAATAATACAGAGAATAAAACATTAATTCTCAGGAAGTGTGAAAAGCTACACTAGTACGGACAAATAGACTATTACAATATTCAGAATCAAAACAGTAGACAGGCTGGGTGTGGTGGCGCATACCTATAACCCTAAAACTGGGAGGGGGAGGCAGGAGGACCGGAAGTTCAAACCCAGCTTAGATGAGTTAGTGACTTGTAAGACTCTGCCTCACAATAGCGAAGGACTAGGGATACAGCTCAGTGCACAGGCCCTGGGTTCCAACCCCCAGTTCTCCATCCCTTAAAAGAAAAAAGCGAGAGAGAGAGGAAAAGAGGGCCCAGTGGACAATGTTTATTCAGTCCGAAATAAATGCAAGTGTTTGTGTGGCAAAATACAAGAACGTTTTCCATCCTATCCACATTTTATAAGTACCATTCAATATGTAAGCTCTGTGTACACACTGTAATAATGTCATTCTATTGGCTGAAAGGCGTTCTTTTAAAATTTCTCTTCCACAATGAGCTTTTAAAAATATTTTTTAAAAAAGTTTTGATTTACAGAAAAAAATGGAAAGATTCCCATTACGTCCTCTCCCAGTTTCTTGTTCTTAACATCCTACACTGGTATACTATATTTGTTACAATGAAGGAATAAATATCGATACATTTTTAACTGAAGTCCATAGTTTATCCAGGCTTCTTCAGTTTCCACCTAATGTACTTTCGCTGGTCCCAGACCGCATCCAGGACACCACATCACACTGACTCTTCACGTCCCGGTAAGCGCCCTGCCTGGCGTGTGCAGTTTCTCGGGCTTTCCTTGTTTGTGATGACTGACCGTTTTGAAGCACATCATCAAGCATTATGTAGGCTGTTCCTCTTACGGAATCTGTCTTATGTTTGCCTCCTGATCAGACTAAAGTTATAGATCGTGAAGGAAGCACAGCTCAATGTAATTTTCTTAACAGGAATTAAAAACACATCCAGACTTCATCAAACTGTTACTGTGGATGTAAATTATGTATCATTTCAGCACTATCCCTCTTCTGTCTTATTAGAGGCTGGAAAGAATGTGATTTCTAAAAAAGGTTGGTAGTGGTTACGCTGCCAAACAACTGCAATCCCAGCACTTTGGGAGGCTGAAACAGAAGGATCATAAATTTAAGCTCAGCCCATATAATTTAGTGATTCAGTGAGACTCTAAAAATTCAAAATAGAAAATGCCTGGAGATGTAGCTCAATGTGATAGTCCTGGGTTTAATACCCGATACCGCAAAAGAAAAAAGTTGGCTTTTAAAAACGTTACTAAATTAGGGATGCAGCTAAGAAGTAAAAGCCCTTGCCTAGTATGTATGTTGGGCCCCTGGGTTTAAACACCAGGGCTGGTGCTCAAGTTTAAAGGGGGAGGCAGTAAAAGAATGAAAAACGAGCAATATATGTTACATGTACCAATTCCTCAAACAAGCAGCACTGTTCTGTATTATAAACATGCACCCGAACAAAACAAAACCTAAGAGGTAGGTAACATAAAATCACTTTAATACACTTGCTCAAGAAAGTATGTTCTTTATGAATTAAAATTACTGTGACATAAAGTCAGATGAAAAATACATACATAAAACATACTGTTCTAAATGCCTGCCAATGTAAACTACATCACTAATCAACCATTACTTACTCTGGTATTGAAATTACAGACTATGATGGTCTTCAACACAATGCTCTAATCATTACTGTTTATCTCCTAGTTCAACTCCACAAATCTTTACGGGTAAAATGTGTGATTTTTTTACATGTGAATAAATATGCCACTCAAGGATATCTATATTTTCAAAGCACATTTTCATATTTTATATATCTACCGAATAATAAGCAATGTGCAGGATTTTTCCAGCTTATGAGTAAAAATAGAACGTATTAGATCCTTAGAAAATTTTTATCACGCAATCTTTCTCAAAGAATCCTTCCCTGAGTAGTAGTTCTCAAATTTTAGTATGTATCAGATCTGAGAGCTCAAGCCAGATTCCTGGTGCCAACCCCAGCAGTTTCTGATTGGGGGGTCTGGGTTGGGGCCTGAGTGTCCATTACACTAACAAGTTCCCAGGTGATGCTGCAGGCCCAAGACACAGTCTAAAAACCACTGCTTCACAGACAAGGAAACTGCATTTCTTCAGTGTGTATGATAAGGTCTTTTACATATATATTTATGAACTAGTTACAGAATCTTAATAAGTCAGTATGATTACCCTTTTATAAGTATGATTACCTCAGAGCTTATAGTCACTGAGGAGCTCACTTGATGGTATTAGGTAGCAGAACTACAATTCAGATCTTTTTCCAATTCTAATACCCATGTTTTTTCTAGCACAATATACTGTACTGCTACTTGTGGATAAAAGAAGTGAAACATATGTGTCCTGGGCATGCTTATTTGAAAAGAGAATGTACCTAAAGATGTCATCAGCTCAGTTCAGTAGGGGGTTAACAAAAGGACAATAACTCACTGAAAGCTAGGTCATAGAGAGGACTCATATACTACCTACACTTCTAAAATAATCAAAGGTAAAATGAATTTATTGTATACTAACAAAACAGGAAGAATGCATTTAATATAGTACTGAATATTCTTTAATTGCTATTATTTTGTTATTCCTTATAGAAAACACAGATTTAAATAAAAGTTCTTGAAAGAATAGTCTCATTTAAATTTAAAGCATCACACTGTTCTAAATGCCTGCCAATGTAAACTACACCACTAATCAACCATTACTTACTCTGGTATTGAAATTACAGAGTATGGTGGTCTTCAACAAAATGCTCTAATCATTACTGTTTATCTCCTTTCAGAAAGCAAATCAAAAGCAGTGATATAACACAACAAAATAAGCAATTTAAGTTTTAAGTAGTACATTAACATGATAAATACATCACCAAAAATGAAGTTGCCAATAATATAAATTTTTGCCAACTGTTACAGTGTATATAAAAGAGGACAGAAACACAAAATTACTGGACTACACACTTACAATAATTAATGAGGTCTAAATTCCAGAATGACAAAAATTACACAACTCTACATCTCTATCAATACAAACATTTTATATAAGAAAGTCCCTTTTAAATATTTATATATATATTACTATGTAATACTGTTAATCAAACCCATAGTTCTATTTATTTAAATAAGAATTAAATAAATTCCCCAAAATGCTGATTTTCATATCACAAAGCGTAAGTCTTTTAAATCAAAATTTTTTGGTATATAGTGAATATATTGGTTCCATAGACAACATTAACAAGCAAATTTTTAAGAATATATTTTCATCTATAGATCAGGTAAAGCTTTATTAAATGGTAAACACTTTTGACAGTGCAGAAATATAATATTCAGTAACAAATACATTCAAAAGATCTGCTGTTCAAACAGTATTTTTTCAAAACCAGGTGGAGGAGTATGATAAAATTCACTGAACTGGCAATCCAAAATTGCACTGTCATCAACTAGAGGATAGAAAAAGAAAGAAAGCAAATTAGGAGCAAACATCTTCATCTGAATGAATACATAATTTTAAAATTAACTGTTTTCAGCCTATGGATGAGTACATGCTTAGTATGTGTGGAACACTGGATTTCATCCCCAGCACCACAACAAAATTAAAAAAAAAAAAAAAGACATTGTTTTCCTAAAACCATAAGATTAATAGGCAAGAAGAATAACCACATCTGCTCTCTGCGTTATAAAATGTATTTGGTAAAAACAGCTACAACATAGAACAAAATTTAACAAAAACACTGGAAAAACATTAATCAAAACATTATTAATAGCTATCCTAGGGCAGGTTCAATGGTGCACACCTGTATTCCCTGCTTCAGGAGGCTCAAGACAGAAGGATCTCTTGAACCCAGGAGCTTCAGATCAGTCCAGCTAATGTAGCAGGACTCTGTCTCTTAAGTACAAAAAGTAATAATATTATCTCTAGATGGTGGAGATACAGGTGAGGTTTTTGGTATTTGCCTATCTGTATTTCCTCAATTTTATACAATTAAGATTTATTACTAATAATCTATTTTGAAATAATTATAGATTCTTGGGAAATTGCAAACGTTCTACAAGAAGTCCTATGTACCTGTCATATAGCTTGTCCTGGTGGTAACATTTTATAAAACAACAGCACAACATCCACACCAGGAAACTGACATTGATACACTGCTGTGAACTGGACTACAGGCCTAATTCATCTTCTTCTACATATTTTTACCAGCATTTGCTCAAGAACAATGAATGCATATATCTGTACAAAGACTTATACCCTATGTAGTGTAGACTGGCCTTGAACTCACTAGGTAGCCCAGGGTAGCCTCAAACTCTTGGCGATCTTCCTGCCTCAGCCTCCCAAGTGGTGACATTACAGATGTGTGCCACCATGCCCGGCTTAGTCTTTTTATGAGACTGACACGCTTCTGGCTGTGCTAAGAGGACATATGCTTAGTCTTTTTAATAGCGTTTGTAGTAACACTTCATCAGTGTTATGCATTTTTTTTCTCTCCATAGGCTGAGTTTAAGAACAGATTGAATGAATGAGTGGATTGTTCTAGGATTAGGGATGGGATGGAGGACAAAGGATAAGGAATGTAGGTTTTATTTTTATTTAGTACAGGCTACTAAAATGTTTGGTTTAACTGGATTGATTTATCAAAATCAATTTATGAAAAAGTAACTCATCACATACAATTTACTATCTATAAAGCTATTCCATTAAAAATAATGATGAGTAAAAGAAACACTTTAGAATAATTTTATTTTGTATACTCATCTGCATACCTCAGTCATTCTACTGACAGTTATTTCGTTTCTCGGGCTAACCTATTTATACACCAAACTACATTTTCATTTATTTAAGTAAGCAAAGGAATTACTTTTAGGCTTACCCACTAGGGAACAACACTAACCAAACTGAATTAAAACGCACTTTTACATGTAAAGACACAAAAGGTAATATAACTGAAAGACAATTTTTGAGCCGGGTGTGGTGGTACATACCTGTATTTCCAGCTATTCCAGAGGCTGAAGCAAAAGGACTACTAGCTCAAGGCCTGCCTGGGCAAGTTACGGAAACCCTATTTCAAAATAAAAGCTTAAAAAAGGGCTTGGGGGGCGCTGGGGATTTAGCTCAGCAGCAAAGCGCCTGCCTGGCAAAGCTCAAGGTCGTAAGTTCAATTCCTGGTACCAGAAGAAAAGACAAACAAAACAAAACAAAACAAAACAAAACAAAACAAAAAGGGCTAGGAATACAGCACAGTGGTAGAGTGCCTATTATTATGAATCCCTGGGTTCAATTCCCAGTAAGGTAAAAAAAAAATTTTTTAAGTAATTTTAGGAGAAAAGAAGACTATTGAAAACCTTAACAAAAAGTAAACCACAAGCTTTTGCTATTATATTATTAAATATTCATATTTGTTATTGCATACTTTTCTGACATCCCAGTCCATCATTACTAACATTTCTACCTTCATTGTAAGCTAGTACAAAAAAAGTTATTAGTCTTTATTACGACCCAAATACAAGACCCAAAGTAATTAAATAAGAAAATATTTTAAACTGACTAAAACCACAAGCAGAAAAATCATACACTTACTGATTTAAAGTTGATAACATGAAAATAAAAAAGGATGGAGTGATGAAGGCAGTGTGGCTGTTTTATTTTACAAATGATTCAGAGCTGACATGGTGGTACATGCCTGTAATCCCAGCTACTCAGGAGGCTATAGCAGATGGATTACAAATTTGCTAAACAGCTAGAGCAATTTAGCAAAATACTGCCTCAAAATGAAAAAACGGTTAGGGATATAGTGCAGCACTCACTGAATTCAACCCTCAGTACCTCAGAAAACAAAAACAAAACGAGAAACAAAAACAAAAGATACACCTTACTTTTTAGGGATAAATATAAAATACTTATGAGCAAAATGATACAATGTCTGGCATCTGTCTCCAAACACCATAAAGAGGGGAGGCAAAGAACGAAGTGTTATGGATAAATGAAACCCAACTGACCCACGAAATAACTGTGTGAAATTGGGTAATGGGTATCTGAGGGTTCACTCTCTTCTTTACATATTTGAAATTTTCTATAATAAAATTTAAGGTAGTTAAGTCGTATAGAATCAACTCTTAAGCAACCCACTTGTTGGAGGGACACTCCTATACAGAAATGATAGCACTTTTGGCTACCAAAATTAAAACAATCAATACAAAACTACTCTAAGTTACAATTTCTCTCAGAAGCATGGTAACAGGTACTTTTTTAAAGGCAGTAAATGCTGAATCTACATAAAATTCCTATCCCTAGCTCCAAAATGTACTTTACATTTCTTGGCCATTTAATCCTTTTTAGTATCTGGCAGAAAAAGCTTTGTGAAATTAGCAAAAATCTTTACTGAACGTAACAATTCACGATGAGTAAGAGTATGTATTGCCTATTTAAGCACAGTCATTGTTTAGTAAGTTTTTAAACGTGGGAAATAAATAGTGTTACCTCGGTTCAGAAACTTAACTCTGCATGATTCCGGTTGCAAAGCAAACTGAATGCAAACCAAATCAAACTCAGTGGTTACGTTTGATGTTGACCTTATGGGGAAATTCGATTCAGTTTTCATCTAACTTGGTTTGCAACTAGAATTATGGAAAGAAGTTTGCGAACTGAGGTACCACTGTATTACCCTTAATTCTACAAAAAGGGAATTGACTAGACTACTGAGTACATTCTATACATAAAAAAGTCCTTATTACCAACTTGTCCAGATGTAGTAAGAACTTATTATACAATTAATATATATGATTTATATAAATGTCAAACAAAAGCTAACATATATCTAATAATATATAGGAAATACTTTAGCTTACCATAAACAACTGGATACACTGTTCCTCGTATACCTGATGCTGGACAATGCATGTTTTTTCCATTCAAATATACATTTAATTCTACATGGTCATATGTAATACCCTATGAAGGAAAGAAAAGTTAGAAAGGATAAAAATATAAATGTTCCATAAATACTTCAGCAGCCAGATATCAATGACTGGGAAGCATAGAAACAAAAAACTTTTCAGAAGGTTGCAGTAGTTTCATTAAAAGCTTACAGTTTGCTAGAATTCCACTAGAACTGAGCTTAAAGATATCAGTAGCGGCCAAGGATAGTGGTCAATGTCAGCATTCTGAGAAACTGAGGCAGGAGCATCTCAAATTTGAGCCTCGGCTAGGCAACCTAGCAACTCAGTGAGACCCTGTCTCACAAAAAATGTAAAAGGCCTGGAGATAGAGCTGAGTGTGAAGGCCCTGTGTTCAATCCTGAGTAACATACACACATACACAGTAGCGATTATATATGGGGACAAAGATCAGGTAACACCCCCAAAATCCACGAAGTCAAAGTCAAAATAGAGATTCTGTTTTGAATATAAGGTGACATAAATGCTACATGGCCATGAACAGAGAGACAACACTGCTCTCTATGTAGGATTTGATCTTAAGGAGGAAAAGCAGGTGTCTTTATTAGGACTTCGTGCATATATGTTACTTTTCTCAAATGGTAAAGAAATATCTTTGCACAATTACTTCCAAAAAGAAATCATACATTTCTGAATCTCTTTACTCTGGCCTCAAACATGTCAAGTATTTTACTATAAAACAAAACTAATATTTATAATTAAATATGACTGGTAGTTAGTGTCATTATAAAATAGCAAAACAATAGCTCCAAAGATTTCAAACAATGGGAAAAATATCACTTTATACAGCTTTGATGGTACAAAGAAATCACAACTAATAACTACTGTTATTATCAAAATGCTAGAAAACATGACAGACCCTATTATGAACCGAGCAATGTTCTAGACACTTCATATTTACTCATGTAACCCTTACAAGATAGGTATCACTAACCCCATTTTACTGATGAGGTAGCCAGGGCACAGAAAGGTAATTTACCTAAGATTGCACAACTTACAATGCAGCAGAGCTGAGGTTTAAAACAATTCATGTTGGCTTCAGAACACTTGTTCTTAATGTGAAATCTGAAATATTTCAAATTCTGAAAGTTCTTGAGTGTTGACATGCCACAAGTAGAAAATTCCACACCCGATCTCTAAATACAAGTACACTAAAAAATGTTGTATAAATTACCTTCAGGCTATGTGCGTGACGAATAAGTGAAACATAAATGAATTTCATGTTTAGGCTTGGGTCCCACCCCTAAAATATCTCATGTGTATGCAAATATTCCAATATCCAAAGCAACCTGATATCAGAAACACTTATGGTCCCAAGCATTTCAGATAAGGAATACCAATAAATCTTTCCTTTAAAGAATTAAGACTAGATAACAGAGATATTCAATAGATAAATCATCAGAGATCAAGAAGCCAATTGCCTCAAGGATTTCTAAACTGGTTCAATTATATCAAAAGCTTTTTAGTGGCATAAAAAGATCTCACAGGTCATCTCATTTGGCAGGGGAGTGTGCTGAGAATTAAACCCAGGGCCTTCACACCCAAGTTACATCCCCAAGCTTTTTTCTTTTTGAGACAAGGTCTTTGTTACGGTTTATATCTATCTAGACGTCACCTCAATGTCTCCGAGCTCATAGGTTAGGCTTTTGGAAGTGACTGGATCATAGGTATGTGGTACTGGATTAGTCCACTGATGAGTTTATAGCTGGATGTGATATTGGGGGGTGAAGCCTGGTGGAAGAGCTGGGCCACGGGGGCATGGCCTGGAAGGATATATACCCCTCGTCCTCCCTTGATCTCTTCTCTGCTTTCCGCCAGCTATGACATGAACTGCTTCTCCTCTATCATACCACCCTGTCTTGGAACCAGCCAACTATGAACTGAAACCTCTAGAAAATGTGAGCCAAAATAAACTTCTTCTTTAACTTGTGGGTGTCAGGTATTTCATCCCAGCAATGAGAAAGTAAGATAGCCTTACTAGGTTGCTAAGTTGCACAGGCTGGGCTTAAGCTTGTGATCTTTCTGTATCAACCTCCCAGAGTGCTAAGATTACAGGCATGCACCTCCATGGCCATCCTGAAGGCTTTAAAGGTCTATCACCCATGATGCTCTATTTTTAAGTTTTGCAGCACTGGAGAATGAATCCAGGGTTTCTGCACTGAGCTAAATCCACATCCCTTTCCCAATTTTTTGAAATTTTGAGACAGGGTCCCCTAACTCTCTAAATTGCCCAGGCTTGGCTGGAATTCTCATCCTCCCTGCTTCAGCCTCCCAGAGTGGGATTGCAGGTAAGAGAGCAAAGGTCCAGAAAATCAGCGTAGTAACTGCTATGAAGAATTCTGTTTAAATTTTAGCAAAGCCAGGGTTAGATTAAATGATTTCTTAATAGTTAAGAAACATTGAGAAAGAAAATATTATATGGATTGTCTTTTAGTATGTATTTAAACATAACAGCACTAAAGCTAGCTGATGCCTGCAGTTAGTTTCTTAAATGAAGAGGTCTCTTCATTAAAACACATACACACACACACACACACACACACACACACATACACACACACACACACAATCACGTAAAAAGGAAAGTATGTCCCTCTCTCTATGGGCCTACAGGAAAACTAGTCACTCAGAAAAGTACTTGTTATCCAGGTATTCTTCACCACCCAGTGGCAGCACAATCTATTGCAATTATTGTCTCATAATTTATTTCATTTTTCCAATGCCACTGTCAACAATTTGGGAAAATTTGTTCGCCTGTGTTTGAACTAGGAAGATAAAGTTAATATATAGGGTAATGTTTTACTCTTCTTAACTCTGCATATAGTTCTCATTTTTAGTTCTTTTTATCAGAATGAGCATGCAAACTCAAGTCTAATTTTACAATGTTGACTGATTAAAAATGGCATTTTGGGGCAATCTACTCGAGAACCCTCCTGTCTTTCAAGGGCTGTTTCTATTTTTCTATTCTCCAATAAATCTTTCTTGCTCTTAACTGTGTCTGTCCTTTGGAATTTATTCTTTGATTTCATGAGACACAAAGTAGCAGGTTGAGAGTTATATTTCTCCTATATCATTTTAGAGGCCCCAGCCAGATAACTGGAAGGAGGTATAAGAGTTTGCTTTTATTTCATGGCACCCCTAAGTATTTTGACTGGAGTCTGGGTTATGATTCACTTTAGGTAATCAAAAATTGTCACCTTTTGTTTGTCAGTTGCTTAAGCCTTGAGTTTTTTGTTAAAATGATGATACCAATTATTGCTAACCTCATGGCATATTAAATATTTTTATGACTTCCAACCAGGCTAAAGTTGTTTATGATAATCAACTTTTCTAGGCTCAAGCATCTGGCTTTCCCTTACTTGTGTTCCAGCTCCATGTGATGAAATATGCATGATCATCCAATATGAGACAGCCAGCCAGGTGACAAGAGATCCACAACCTTGTGCTTGTGTGATTGTTATATAATTGTGTTATAATAGTTAGAGGTATCTAAACACCATGCAGTCCAGACAATGTTGCTCTAATGACTACAGATTAGGCATTAATAATCTGTAAAGTACATCTATAAACTAGTACATTCTACTTAAATGTCACTTTTGTAACAGAAAATGGTTAAAAGATAAAAAATTAGGTCAAAGGTTTATTTTTGTTTGTTTGTTTTTTTGGTTTTTCTCCGGTACCGGGAACCGAACTCACGACCTTGTGCTTGCCAGGCAGGTGCTTTTGCCGCTGAGCTAAATCCCCAGCCCCTCAAAGGTTTATTTTTATCATTTAATACAGTGGACCCTTGACTTATAAACTCAATTCATTCCCAAAGGTGCTAAACTCCAAGTCACCTTGCAGATGGAAGAAATGACAAATGCACCAGACTCCTTTTACCAGGATCCACTAGATTGACCTTGTAAAGGGAATTCATAGCTGCTGAACTGCAATATGACTTCTGTCCCACTAGTTTTGCTCTCTGGAGAAGGCGCCTGACTGTATTGTCCCCTACACTGACCTTTCTTAGCTCAAAGCAGCTAGATTGAAACTTTGCCCATTCTCCCCTAATGGTAGTTAGGGGTACTTCTTTGGCAGGGGCGATATTATAGGCAACTAAGTTAGATAAAAATTAATATACAGTCAGAAAGGGGCTGCGCTCTCAAGGAAGTCAGTAAAAAATGCAGGTATCAGAATTGTGGCCGGGGGTGCATCTGAAGAAGGCAAGGCCCCAAAATAAAGTCACAATGGCCCAAATTACACGCTTCCCTAAGGGATAAGCAGAACTATAAGTAGCACCCAGTTCATTAAGTCCAGATATGCAACCAACACCTGGGTTGGTCTGCAAAGGGCCTCTGCTACCCATTTTCAGGACCCCTCTGGTCTCTCAGGAACTATTTCTCAATAAACCTTTCCTATTTTTATCAATCAATCCATCCATCAATCAGGCATTCTTAAATGTGTCAGTTTGTGATGTTAGTTATCTCAGTGAATGAGACAGGGAGGCAAAAATAACACACAGAAATTCAGTATATCAACAAAGGAAAACATTTGCTACTGATTATTCCTTATTATGCTTGAATTTCATCTTCATTCTCTTGTAAACAAGCTGACCACCTCAACTACACTTTAAGATTCTCTTTTAAGAAGTAACTGTTAGAATAAGGATGGTCCATATTATGGACACCTGGCAATGATCTACAAACACAGAACCAACAATTCTGTGGGAAATCTTGGAAAAGAAGATTTTAAAAGCGATTTATATCTTTCTCCCCTTTTCTTTACTCAATTTAGGAAAAATAAACTTAGAACTATTAAAAATTGTTCCTCACTTTTTTAAGTGGTAGAAAAGAGAAGATCAAACCATAATTAAAAATTTAATTCCCACAAGGCATGGTGGTATAACCTGTAATCCCAGCTACTCAGCAGGTGGATCACAAGTTTGAGGCCATCCAGGACAATTTAGACCCTGCCTCAAAATAAAATTTTTACAAAGGTGGTGATGTAGCATTGAATTCCCTCGGTTTAATCCCTAGCAGCACCAAACACACACACACATACACACACAAACCCTTAATTCCCACACCTTTCTTTAATCTTTAAAACACTGCACATTCCTTTAATAAGAACCTGGCTTTGTCTGGTCTGCGTCATCTTCTTACTAGAAAACTTCACTTTGATACTCAAGGTTTTGTGTACAAGAGCATCCTGGCTAAAGAAGACTCCAGAACTCTGTTCTTAATCAACAGCTAAAAGCTTGGACTCTGTGTATAAGATTCTCAGATAACAGTGGATGACAAGAAGTGATAGGGAAGACAGAAAAGGGTTTCTGTGTTTTATCTTCAATTGGTGGCTCTGGTATAGATTTAAATATATCCCACTGGAAATAAAAATAGAAAAGCCCTAATAATATGTTAGTCTCTTAAAACAAAGCTTTCTATAATCAAGCCTTTGAACTCTGAGTCCATTCCTTTGAAGAATTCTAAGTGGATGAAGTTCAACTAGATTAAGTTTAATAAGCCCAACACTTGAGATAAAATGTTGCTCTAACAGGCATTCGAAACAAATGATGAAATGTGAAAATTTTCTCTATATCTAACACTTTCTAAAATGAAGTCAGCATACTCTTTTTTTTTTTTTTTTTTTTTTTGGTTTTTCTCCGGTACCGGGAACCGAACTCACGACCTTGTGCTTGCCAGGCAGGCGCTTTTGCCGCTGAGCTAAATCCCCAGCCCCTAAGTCAGCATACTCTTAAAATTATGGGCCAAGGTTTCTCTGATGTGACAGAAGTAGGAAATATCGTTCAGCAGCTCACTTATCACTGATTCTCCTGAGTGGGAGGAAATAAGAGCTCGCCCTGATGTCCTGGGTTATAGCAGCTCTGCATGAGCACCTATACCAACTGCTCTCTCTGGAAACTATACCACCTCATTAGACTTAATTGTACGGCGTTAGAATCCAAACTATAAACTCCAAGGCCAAAGTGCATCTACTCAAAAGCTGCTCAAGTTAATTATTTGCAGTGGACATGAACTCCACCAAGAGACTCACCACCACGTCTCCCTCCTGTGGAAGGCTGTTTGCTGGTAGCCTATTTTTCTCTTCATTGTTGTGGTACAGGGCTCCATCATTTCTCATCACAAGACTATGCACGTCTCGGCCAAGAGGAATCTGGTTCAGGTTCACCTTCTGAGTTGCAACACCAATACCCCAGATTCCTGAAAATACAATAATTTACGTGCCTCCAAATCTTAAGGATACTTTGAAGAGTACAAAGTGTTTCTAAAAGAAGTGTCATATCAGTAAACTATTTCCTGTTATTTAAAAAAAAAATCTCTTAAAAGGAATTTGCAGCGTGTACTATGTTTTCTAGAGATGAAGCACAACCTAGAGATAAGTGAGTGGGTTCTGGAGTTGTACTACTGAGGTTTAAATTCTGACTTAGCTGTATTATCCTAGGTGAAGCACTTCTTTCTGTTTTCTCATCCATGAACTGTAGTAGAGGCTAACAGTACTCACCTTGAAGGGTTAGGAAATGATAGAAGATAACCCAAGAAAACCATTTAGAGTAGTATTTTTTTAAAATCAGGTAAGTAGAGCAAATTTTTTTTTTTTTTGGTTTTGGTTTTTTTGTGGTACAGGGAATCGAACTCACGACCTTGCACTTCCAGGAAGGTGCTGTGCCGCTGAGCTAAATCCCTAGCCTCTAGTAAAGCACATTTAAATATTCAATAATGCTAGCTATTATTACACTTTTCTTTTATTTTTTGAAACAGGATCTTGCTATATAATTCAAGCTGACCTTGAACTCACAGCAATTCTTCTGCTTCAGCCTACTGAGTGCTGGGATTATAGGTGTGCACCATCATGCTTGGCTATTTATTATTGTTTTCTTAAAAAATTTTTAAGAAATGCTACATGGTTGGTTAGAGTGCTTGCTTGGCACAAGTAAGGCCCTGACTGGGTCTCTAGCACTGGGGAAAAAAATCTGTACTGTACATTGCATTTAAGTGGCCTGGAGTCCTTTGAAGGTCTACCTTTAAGGAGTGAGATATGACTGTGTTCAGCTAATGTATGTCACGAACATTATCATGGAGAGAAGAAAATTAATGATGCACAAAATCATTTTTATTCAATACTTTTAGTTGAGGAGTTAAAAGCCTTGTACTGTAAGTTAGGCTGGGGATGTAGCTCAGTAGGACAGTACTTGCCTAGCACGCTTGCTCATTTGATCTCAAGCACAACCAACCAACCAAAAAAACCAAAACTATTTTTAGCCTAAGCTGACTTTTGAAGTGAGCACCTCTCCTCTTGATTTTGTCTCAAATTGATTCCTTCTCAGTTCCTGGCAAACTCAGAAGAGGGGCTGGGGATACAGCTCAGTGGCACTGCGCCTGCCTGTCAAATATAAGGTTGTGAATTCGATTCCCAAGACCAAAAAAGAAAAAAAGAAAAAAAAAAAAGGAAATTCAGAAGAAATTCTATATATAGATGAAGGTCTGAAAACCCTGTTCAATTTTCTTGGCTAAGTGAAAAAGTCAGAAAATTGTATGTCTGGAATTCACTGCATTGGCCTCCAAAATAATTTGAGCATATATTTTATACTCCAAAGTGGGACAACTATGGGAGTAACAGGAGACAAAAATATTAGTTTCACAGGAAAACTTTTGCAGAAAGAGTTCTACTGACTCTTTTCTCCTAAAAAATTGTGTCCAACTGCCTCCAGGTTTTACTATAGGACCAAGGCTGAGCATTCCAACAAACCAGTTATTTTAGTGGTATCATTAGGGATAGTATCCTTTACAGAAAACCTACACAGAAACTTTTATTAGCTTTATGGCCCAAAAAACTATTTGCATCTCTTGAGAAACAAATATGTTATATTTGAGAAGATTACAGCTACCAGGGACATTGTGCAGCCATGAGCTAACTTATAATGGGACAGAGGGCAAATTCAGTTACATTTCATTCACTGGAAAAAATCAGTAGTAAGCCAGGTATGGTAGTGCACACCTGTAATCCCAGCACTTGGGAGGCTGAGGCAGAAGGATTACTGCAAGCTCAAGACCAGCCTGGGCTACAAAGTGAGCTCAAGGCCAGCCTGAACTGCGTAACAAGACCATGTAAAAAAGAAAGAAAGAAAGAAAATCAGTATTAAAAATTAATACAGGGTTGCCAGTGTGGTGGCATAATTCCTTAATCTCAGCACTGGGGAGGCTGAGGCAGGAGGATTGAGTGAGTCTGAGACCAGCCTGGGTTAAATAGTGAGTGTGAGACAGGCCTGAATTACAGAGCAAGACCTTATCTCCAAAATCCCAAACAAAATAAAACAAATACAGGGCTGAGGATATGGTTAAGCAGTAGAGTGCTTGCCTGGCATGTGTAAAGCTCTGAGTTTAATCCTCAGCATGGTGAACAAAACAAAACACAAAAAAACCTAATATAGCAAAATATTTTATACTATTCAAGGAGTTGAATAACTAGGATTTATAGTAGGATTCACTATTCCACTCTAGTTTTCTTATTCTGTACCTGTATTACTCAAGCAGTATTTCACCAGAGGTTTCTTCCTAACAAAGATCCTCCCCCACACAAAAATTCCCTATATACAATATAGCCACAATTTAACTTAATAATCGCAGAAAATTACTATTCAATTCAAGAAACACCAGACATTTTTAGGAGAAGTACAAATGTTAGACTTCTTCCAGATTCTAAATCTGATGATTGCTTCAGAAGATATTGAATCAGGGTCCCTTAACAGAAGTGAAAAGACTGGGCATGATGGTGTGCATCTGTAATCCCAGTTACTTGGGAGGTAGAGGCAGGAAGATTCCAAGTTCAAGGCCACTTTGGGCCATTTAGCGTGACCCTGTCTCAAGATAAAATATTAAAAGGGCTAGTAGGAATATAGCTTAGTGGTAAAGTGCCTCTAAGTTAAATCCCCAATGATACAGCCCACATACAAAGATAGTTAAGAAAAACTCAGGATCAAAGGATTAATTTTATCCTAAAATAAAATAGCAACAGTCTACATTCCTCATATGCCTGAATAAATAAAATGATAACTCTAGAACCTCTTAATAATGCTTGGTACCTTACAGTTATCCAGCATGTCCTGTTTTTAAAATAATTTCATATATAGTTCCTGTGAGGCAAGAAAGGCAGTTCCTAGGCTGGGCATGGTGTCGCACGCCTATAATCCCAGCACTTGGGAGGCTGAGGCAGAAGGATCACTGAGTTTGAGGACAGCTTGGGCTACAAAGTGAGTTCAAGACCAGCCTATACTATACAGTAAAACCCTAAAGTAAAAAGACCAAAAAGAAAAAAAAAAAAAAAAGACAGAAAAGGCAGCTCCTATAATCCCTGTTTTATAGAAGAGAAAACTAAACCTAATTTAACCAAATTGGGTAATTTAACCTGGATTACACAGGACACAGATCTTTGAAGTGAGAGTTTGGACTTTTAAAAAAAATTACCTCTGAAACTTTTTTCATATATTTAAAATTACTTAATATTTAGAACAACTAGAACGTTTAATAGTAAAGTACCTTTACACTAACCTGTGGATTGGATTTTGAATTCAAAATAGCTTTTGTTTTGATGAAGAGGTGCACTGGCTAAACAACCTCCTGTTCCACATATTCTTCTTCCATTTTTCACAATGACAACATCTGTTCCTAAAAAAAAAGAAAGCACACACTATTAAAGTTTTGTAGTTTCATATCCAACAATTAGCATTCATTTATTCACCAATAACTCAGTCCACATTAAAATAGGGATGATATAAATACTTTGAAATATAGGAATATTGTTAATTACTTCAAATATTTAATTTACTGTTTTCTTCTGAGAAGACATTTACATACAATATTGTTGTAGCATGAGTCTTGTTTCATTAAGCAATTACAAATGTACTAATAACTCTTCCTTATACTGAATATTGAAACATTTGTAAGGAGACTAACTCCTTTCATTTTTAGCCAATAAACAGATTCAAATATTTCATAAATCTCTTAACTTAGGCAAAAACATAAACACTTAAAACAAACTTTAGTAAATTGGTACAATTTTCAATTCTATCCAGATCAATTAAAACTACCTACTAAAAACCAGCCGAATGTTTACTAAGTATAAGGCAACATATTAATGCATTAGTTAGGTAAGAACTGAAGAGCACATGGAATATTGGGAAGAAACAAACACTTATGATGAAATAGCTGATGCTGAAAAAATGCGTATTTTGGGTTCTTAAAATGTTTATCAAGATAGCTACTATCACATGACAGGGATGTAAACAAGGTTTTCACATCATTAAATGTACTTCATTCTCATGGAAAATTTCAATTTCAGCTCAACAGTTATAGATGAGAGGAAGAAAATACTGTCTCTTGATATGTGACCCCACTACTGAATTTATTTCCAAACCATGGTTTTGGAATGCCATGCACATCAGAGAACGTGAATAAACTTAACATAATTGTAGTATGTAAGATATATCCTTTAACACCAAAGCATGTGCCTCCCAACGCCTGTGGCCAACACTACCACCTCACTAGCAAAAAGTACAAGTGAAACAAATCTGGCTATAGAATTGTGTGAGACTCCTCCAGAGGGGGTTAAATAAAACTAGAAAATAGTAATGAAAATGTTTAATTCATATTTAAACAAAAAATTATTTGGGATAAATACATAAGAGAAATGCAAAAGATACCAGAATCTATCACAATTCTAAACTGGTTACTTAAGAACTTTTAAGGTACAATTTAGTACTATTGTATGATTGTTAAAATTCATTAGCATCTACTCTTTCCTGAAAATATTACTTTTGAGAGAGAACCTCATAAACAATTTGTATTTGCACGTGTCTACTAGCTCCAACTGAGGGCACCTCCCTGATGGCAAATATGCTGCAGTATGTTGTTAGTAAAAACTACAGCAATGAAAGAATAAATAAGCTGTACTAAGCACTTTGTAGTGGACGTGTAGCATCTGCTCTCCCTTCTCCTCTGGAAATAAACAGTTCCAAGGAAGCTGACTCAGTCTCTGGCTTCAAGGGTGTATAGCATTTGACCTAGATTAAGTCAGTCAGTCATATTACACATCTCTGGGCCACAGTGATTGAATCAAGAAGAACAATCAGAAAAAGTGTCAGGACTTTTGCAAAAAACTCTGGGATATACACGCTCTCATACTTGCTAGAATTGAATAAGGAAGCCTATAGTCCAGGGAGTTGCTTCAAGGGACCACAGGAACTAGCTTTCAGGAATAAGCAGCAGAAGATAGAGGAAATAAATAAAAAGAAACTGAATTCTTAGCAGTACCAAATCTTTCCTGAAGCCAGTGCTGTCTTTTTAATTTTCAGTTACATGAACTAATAAATTTCCTTCACTGTTTAAACAATTCTGAGTTGCAGTTTTCACTGATTGCAACTGAAAGCATCCTTAGTAAAACACATTTTCAAGGATTATGCAAATAAATGGTAATTTCTCTCTCTCCATTGGCATTGGTCTGTGGCCCTCCTCACACTAAAACCGCTAACAACTAGTTTCCACAACAGATAACATTATCTCAGATTTCACGCTTAAGTGCTAGGCTAATGGAAGTATTAGAAGCCTCTCAAAACAATACAGTCTGTTCTGTGATTTGCCATCACAGAAACAATTCTGAGCACACTATTTATTCTCTTATTCCAGCGTCATCTATCTCTAAAGCATTCTGTTGGGTACTGAGATATTTTATACAGAAAGACAAACATATTCAGAGGGTATCCTGAGGTGTTTGTGAATCACTAGGGTATCACTTTAAACTTATTCCTTTTCTCTTTATTAAAGTCAACAATATGTATTTGTATGTATATCTATGCAATGTGCAGTTTTATTACTCATTGCAAGTCAAAGTATTTCTGGAAAGTCAAGGCAAATTTGAGCACAGCCAGAATACCACAGAAACACATCTACAGAGTATGTTTTAAGAAACATTAGAAAGCCTGGTGTGGTGGCACATGCCTGTAAACCCAGCATTTGGTAGGCCAAGGCCAGCCTGTACTACATAGCAAGATCCTCCCTGTTTAAAAACAACAACAACAAAAATAAGTATTAGACATTTCCAAGTGAATAACACTCCTTCCGAACTAGCTACCGTGGAAGGAATTCATTTTTAAAAAGGCAATTCACATAATGTGCCATCAATTAAGATTTTTATAAAACCTATGCCACAGAGAAGTCTAAAATGGTTTTAAACAACACAAGCAACATCATCAAAATAAGTGACTATTCTAAAAGAGGCATCATTTTGATATAAATTCTTTACAAAAAAAAAAAAAAAAAAGCAGCAAAGCATGAGCCTATGGTCTCTGATACTCAAGAAGCTGAGGCAGGAGGGTCACTTAAGCCCAGGAGTTCAAGGCTCCCCTGGGCAACACAGGGAGGCTCTGTTTTAAAAAAAAAAAAAAATCATATTCTTTAGGTTATTTATATAACCTTTCACATACTCAAACATGCATATTGGCTAAATCTGCGTCTCAAGCAGGGTGTGCATGCTTACAATCCCAGCACCGAGGGAGGCTGGGGCAGAGGACTGAAAGTTTGAGTCTCACCTGACAGCTTCCTGAGACCCTGTCTCAAAACAAATAAAAAGGGCTGAGGGTGTAGCTCACTGGTAGAGTGCTCCTGGGTTCAGTCCCCAGTACCAGAAAAATAAAATCAGCTCCACTCAGGCTTGAAACTCTTCTAATGCAGCAACACTCTTTTTTCATTTTACTCAAGCTCTCAAATCAGGCTTCTCTGTGATTGAAGAATTGGAAGTTAATGGTAGACAGTCAAGGGCAGAAAATTTGGGAATATTACTCTATCCACTGAGTACCCGAAACATGCTGGGCGAATCTGGAGAAAGGCAAATGTAGTGGAATGAGTACAAATGGCCAATTCTTCCTAGAGAAGAGGCCAGAGAAAAAGAATGTTCTACAGAGCAGACTACAGGGATTCAGAGTCTAGCAGAAGAGGTAGGAAGAAGAGCAAAGGCTGCTCAAAAGCTCCAGGGGACTTATGCAGGGCCGTCCTTTACCTTATCCCCAGCACTTAAGACAACGCCTGCCACCAGACAGTCCCTCGAAACATAGTTCAGTGGGTAAGCGGAAATGTTTTCTGAAGGAAACTATAGGATCTGAACATCAACTGCCTATAAATGATGATGGATAAATAAAGATATGTATGTACTGAGATTCTCTACTATACTTAGGGGACCTAAAAAGTAAAGTACCATAAATAACCACATACAAGATGGCAAACAATGATAAACATTTAGCCTTTGCTACAGAAATATGGAAATGGACAGTGTTTCCAGAATTATAAAAAAAAGGTAAAAGAGTTTTGTTATAAATATTAAAACTTTATTTCAATGCACTGAATCTTAAAAAATGAGCAATGTAAGAAAAAAAATCTAAAGTGCTTAAGTATATTTAGGATAAAATCATCCACTAAAAATGCTGCTGCTAAATAATTATATTGGGAAAGCGCTCTTGCTAGAACCATATTTTAGAAGCATGAAGTAGGCAGAAAAAGCCTAAAAAGGTAAATAGTGGGTATTAAGTAAGGATATGGAGGGATGAAAAAGAATGTTAGATAAAAAGTTATACGGTGATTTGGAACAGGCAGGAAAACCACTGATGCAAAGGAGTAAAGTGCTGTTTTATTTTGCAACGGCCGGATCAGTTGGGAAGAGGCCAGTGAGATGAAATTACAGCGCTTCCAACAGTGACTAAGGAGGCGCCCGGCAATGGCAGGTTTTGGTCGAAAAGGCATGTTCCGACTTGAGGTGCGACTTCAGGCTTGTACCTTCTTCTTGTTTTGACTTTAGAAGATGAGGGGGGAATTAATTCCAATAAAACAAGCTTCAACCTATATAAGATGGGGCCAAAGACAAACAGCCGACTGTCAGGACGTTGGAACCGAAAGCATTCTGAAACGCGCGGACACCACACAGAGCTGGAGGGCGCCCCGCCCGCGAGAGGCAGCTGGCAGGAGGCGGAGAGGTCACCGCAGCCCTCCCGACGCCAGCCCACCCGGCCGGGGAGGAGTTGGCGGCGGCCGGGAGGTCCGCGACACAAGCGGGGATGGGGCAGCGTCGCCCAGGAGACGGTGCAAGCGGACCCCCGCCGCGCCCCCGGGCCGTTGAGTCTGGGACGGGAGGGCCTTACCCATGTGCTGCGTGTCCAGCTGCACGGCCGGCATCTCCTTCAGAGGAATGTGGCCGGTCCCGCTGTCCCTGCAGCATCGCAGGCAGCAAAACACCGACGCGGCCATGGCGCAAAGACCACCGAGTCGCTGCCGCTGCCGCTGCCGCCGCCGCTGCCGCCACTATACCGCGGCGACACCGCCCCCCGCCGCCCCGCCCCACCTCGCCCGCCTCCGCCCCCGTTCGAGTGCTCGCTGTGTCCGTGTGGAGAGCAGTAGTTGGCACAGCGACGCCTCCGGCCGGGAGGCGCAGCGCAGGCTGAGGTGCTGTGGGGCGGGAAGAAGCGAGGATTGGTGGGCGGGGCCGTGCGACGGGCGGGGCTAGTGCTGAGACAGTGAAAGGGGCGTGGCGGGCCGGCGCGCGTGTTGGGGGCGTACGCCTGCGCGTCGGGTCATTTTTGCGCGGGGGCGGCCTCACGCGGGTCCCCCAAGTTGACAGGTGAGTTTGCCCTCTAGGCTCTTTGGAGTTGTCGGATGTTATGGGTGTTTTGCTTTGTTTTGTTTTGACACTGGGGTATGTCGCTGTTTTGGCCAGACCCGGCTCCAAGTCCCGGGCTCAAGCAACCTTTTCGCCTCAGCCTCCGGAATAGCTGGTACTACAGGCGCGCGTCACCACGCTTGGCTGGAAGCTGTGTTTTAAAAACTGCCTCTCTACGCCATTCTTTTTTATGGGTAGACTGACGGAAACAGGCGGGCGGAGGGGAAGCTGACAAAAGTGCTCTCTGAGGTTCCCCTCCCCGGACCAGGGCTGAACGAGCTGAGCCCGCGAGGGGAGGCTGCGTACCCCTCCCTGTGGCTGGATCGGAGTTTCCTCAGAAGCGAGGAGATCACACTGGCGCCACCAGGAGCTGGGGTTGGTGGTTGCGCCGTGCGCTTGCCCCCCGGCTCCTCGTGGGCCCGCAGCCTTCTCCGTGCAGAGACGTGCCGTCCCGGCCCGCGGGAGCTGGACCTGGGAGGGAACCGCTGGTAGGGCCGGAGGCGGCTCTGGACGGCCTCTTCCCGGCTCTCCTCTCGGGTGCACCGAGGGCTCCCCAGAAGGCGAAGGGACCCCGGAGGCTGTGGGAAGGCTGCCGGGTCCTCTCAGGGAAGCCCTCGGTTCCTGCGGTCTGCTCCTGCTTCCACGTGGAAGGCCCCGGAGCCGTCACTTGTCATCTCCTCCTAGACCGTCCTTCGGTGGCAGATTTTGCGTTCATACCGCTTGGCGTCTGGGACGGCCTCTAGAATTAACCTGGCTCAAACCTCTGTCCCCAGATCACCGTGAAGGCTTCTTTGGAGTTCAAGTCCTGGGAAACCAGATCTAAAGTACCACTTATTAAGTAATGGATTCGCATATATAACTTTATAGTCACCTGAGTACAAATATCCTTTATAGAGGAATTTTTACCCATAAGATGAGGAAAAGTTTTCAGGCCCCTGGGTCTCTTTTCTGTCTCTTCAAATGATGTTTTCACTACAGTTGGTTTGGTTAATAATCCAAATTTTGTACTTTGAGATTTAGTTCCTGTAAAATTAGTAGCGAATATGACTATTAAACTGGTTGAGAATTACCCCCACCCTCGCTGCCTACGAAGTACTTTCTTGGTAATTATTTTACACATGCAATTTTCTTTCATTGAAAATTTTGATTGTTATTCTGGAAATTTAGCCCTAACTCATCTCTTGCCCTCCCAGGAAGAAGAGAGTACATCATAAAATGGTGAAGAGAAAAATTTTTTCCTGCCTGCCTACTAAGAGATAGGCACTCTTTACATACATATATATAACTTGCATATAGCATAGGAATTCTCGCAAGGTTTCAAGTTTGATATTGTTTCCATTTTATAGATGAAAGTACACTTACAAGGATTAAATGAGTTGTGCAACATTAGTTGAGGAAATATACAAGATAGGGCTCAAGACTCATCATTCTCTTTTTTTTGAGACAGGGTTTCACTGTGCAGTTCAGCCTGGCTTTGAACTCACTTTGTAGCCCCGGCAGGCCTTGAACTCACAGTGATCCTTCTGCCTCTGGAGAGCTGGGATCACAGGCGTGCACCACCATGCCCAGCATCATTCTGTTTTTTGGTTTTTTTTTTTGTTTTTTTATGGTACTGGAAATCGAACTCACAACCTTGCGCTTGCCAGGCAGGCACTGTGCCGCTGAGCTAAATCCCCAGGCCCCAGCATCATTCTGACTCTTGTGTATTTGCTCAACCAGTTGGTGTTGCCTCTCAAATTCTGAAGTTCTAACTTGTAATTAATGCTATAATCATCTGAAACTTGCTCTCAGTTCAAAATGCAGATACACACTGTTTTTTGTGTGTTTCATTAATCTTCATGTAGGATAAAACTGTCATAACGTGTATAGACAATAAATAAAACATAAGTCATTGTAAAATTTTCATTCTGAGATATTAAAGTGGTATATGAATTAAATATGTGGTAAACATTTAGGCTGTTCAAGTCAATCACATCCTTAGTGACAGCCAGTTAGATGGTTGTGAATTAGCTACTAATGCAGAAGACAACTGGGTGTGGTTGCGCATGCCTGTAATCCCAGCACTCGGGAGGCTGAGGCAGGAGGATTTTTGGTGAGTTCAAGGCCAGCCTGGGCTACAAAATGAGCTCAAGGCCAGCCTGAACTGCATAGTGAGACCTTGTCTCAAAAAGACCAAAAAAAAAAAAAAAAAAAAAAAAAAAATGCAGGAGACAGAAGTACTATAGTCTTTCCTGGGTGGAAAAGTAATTTGTTGGGGCACTGCCTGGTGCACTTTGCCCCCATTGTCAAATCTCAAATGCATTCAGTGGAATGAAGCAAGCAAACTGGTTAGCTATTGCATCAGACTTCCCTGTGTTGGAAAATGAATGCCATCCATGAGCTTACAGATCTTTCCCTTCTTGTATCTGGGATTCTATTATCCTCATTATTACTTTCTTTCTTGAAAAAGCACAGTGTTAAAGATACTTTGACAGTCTTTCATAGCTATCACTAAATAACAATCACAAATAAAGCCTACAAAAAGTTTCTCCGATAGTTAGTTAGAAAGTCATTTGTCTAGGGGCTGGGGATTTAGTTCAGCAGCACAGCGCCTGCCTGGCAAGCGCAACATCGTGAGTTCAATTCTCGGGTACCGGAAAAAAACAAACAAACAAACAAAAAAAAAGAAAGTCATTTATCTAAGTCAAAAACAATAACAAAGAATGACTGCTGGGGGGAAGAAGTCTGACTGCTTCAGTGACATGTGCCAGGAACTAGAAAATTGATAAGACAATAATGTAAAGCACATGTTTCAGAGCTGAGTTGAACATGCTCAGGAGTTTCTTTAATAGTTTTTTTTTTATGGCAGGCAGATATCTATTAGTAAATTTCACACTCCATACTGCATCATAGAACATGGCTTCTTTCTTAAAAATTCAATTACTTTCTGAGTCAAACACTTTTTTGTGGAGTAATCCAAACCACATTTTTGATCCTTAAAAATCATAAACATTACAAACACCTCATATTTCTGAAAATTAACATGTTCCTATGAACCTTGATCTATTATTCATTATTAGAATTTGAAGTAATAGTAACACTTTATGTTGTGGTTACTATTGCCAGGCACTGATTTAAGTGCTTTTTGAAACTGATTTAATCTTTGTAACAATACTGCAAAGGAAAAATTACCCTTCACTGTACAGATGAGGTAACTGAGGTGAAGAAAAGCTAAAAGCTGTACCTATAGTTACATATAATGAAGCTTGAGTTCAAACTCAGGTAGTCCTGCTTTTGGTCTGTGTTCTTAAATATGAATTATAAATACATATATAAAATATATACTTTATAAATATATATATATTTAGAATATATTTATATAATGTTTAAAATACACATTTTTTGGCTGTACTGAATATTGAACCCAGGGCTTGGGTCATGTTGGCATGTGTACTGTCACAATTATATCCCCAGCCCCTGGGGTGCTCATTTAAGAATGCAGTCCTAATTTTTATTTGTTTCCTTCTATTTCTTTATCTTAGATGTTGACATTTAAATTTACCAGGATTAATTGTAATCATTTAATCTGAGTGTTCTGAATTATAAAGTATATAACCTAGATATACTCAACAATAAAAAACAAATAGGAAAAATAACTAGAACTTTGTTCTGCAATAAGTTGCTATTGGCTTGCAGTTCTACACTGTTATCAGCACTGTGAACATTTTGCAGAAATGCCCTTCATGGCATTCTCTGACCAAAGGAAGGGATATTTAGTACTTTAAGACAGTTAAACCATCTGTGTTAGTAGGCAGAGCACTTAGACCTGCGGCTTGCCTACTGTCCTAGCTACTTTCTATTTCTAAGACACAATACCCACCATCCACAACTTGAAGAAAATAAACCTTAAAGGTTTATTTTGGCTCACAGTTTGTACAGATCTCAGTCCATAGTCTGCTAGCTGCAAGGCAGTGTGGCATGGCAGAGGAAAATTGCTCATGGCAAGGTGGACAGGAAGCAGAGAGCAATCAAGGAGGGAGGGAGGGAGATAGACCTCAGCAGGCCACACCCCCATGATTCAATTATATCCTAAAAGTCCTATATCCTAGGAGCAACTGAGGCTTTAGGGAGATACCTAGATATAAACCTACAAAAGGGTGATAAGAAGTGTTTTGTACAAAGTTTTCATGGCCAAAGATAAGACTATAATCTGGTATTATGGGAGGAAGGTTGGAAAAACACCTAGCTATATCAAATAGCTCAAGTAAATTTCCCAAATCTGAGACATTCAAGTGGTTCTGTATCTTTGGACTACAGTATGACCAGGGAGTGAGAAGTCACCATATCCAGATTATAAAATCCAAAAGCACTTGATATTTGCAAGAGAGATCAGTCAGGAAAAAAAGCCCTTTCTGCTATATGTATTATATTTGCAGGAAAACAAAATTATACTTATATCATTGAAATTGTGAAAAAAAATCTTAAAATGTTTCTAGTAACAAGGAAGGGCACATAAATTAGAAGTTAAAATGTATCCAACATTACTAACTTAAGGTATGTACAATGTCATTTAGTGTCATGGTTTTATTTTTGAGAAACATAAAAATATAAACTTTTTTCAAAAGATTTCATCTACAGTTACAATTATTTGAAACCTTCTCAATAACGGTTTTGCATATCAATACCCCAAATTCAGGGATTATCAGAAACTTCATTGTGTTGAGAACAAGCTATCATATGGTACCAATACACATGTATCTATGGCTGCAGATGTGATACTGGATAGGGTTAGTGCAGTTCTGAGGAACAAGTAGGCCACTACAGTTTGCAGATTTTGTAACCTGAATTACAGGTAAAGTGAGACTACCTAAAATTATTAGTGGAATTTGTAAAATTATAGACTGGGGCACGTGGTATAGCTCAGTATTAGAGCATGTACTTAGAGTAGACAAGGCACTCTTCGATCACTTGCACTATAAAGT